CGAAAAGGGCTCAATACATTGTCTAAAATCTCATAATTGCATCATCATTATTATTATGTTGTTTCTGCGTGTCGCACCTAAACTATACGTTTGCATCAAACTCTTGAGTGAATCTAAGCTGCTGAGAGATCTTAATATGATCCACAAGACATTCAAACGTCGAAAACTAGTAAAAAAAACTTATTTTCACTTTCCGAATAATTATTAAGTTACTCCCAATTATATTGTATCTATCACAAAACCACAATTTTACTGCTAGCAACTAGCAGACCTCACAGGGTTTATTTTATACACAAGTAAAAATTATAATCGACAATTCTAGACACCTGTATTCTTTTCCTGGATCTGCCTTATCATGACCTCGTAATGTGGTGCAAACGCCGTTATACAACCTATCTGCTGCAAGACATGCTTATAGGCTGTATGACATTCCATCTTTTAACATTGCAAATGAGTCGATTTTAAAAGCTCATGCAGTCTTTCAGATATCAGTATATCTAGAATTATTGATTAATTACATAATAACAAATAGTTTTTTTAAAAGAATCAACCAAACCAAATTTCAATAAAATATTTAAAATATTCTAAAATTAAATAATATTCAGCAGCTTTTAGCTCATTTTTATTGACTGTCCGTGAACCCCTTGATCGTATCCTTTTAATATTCCACGTTATTTTTTTTTAAATAACGGTAACATTGTATGTTAACTGGTCAAAATTGAGGGTAGAATGCGATTTGATTAACGGGGATATTTTGAGACATTCTGAAGGTCATTTTCATTATAATAAATGAGAAATCGGTAACATTCTTAGCATGTTCCAATCGATTAAATCACAATAGTGTACGGAGTTGCTTTGCAAATCCAATTAAATATGTTCAAATAACAAATTGTCTCTGAATTCATATAAAAATACGAGATTCGTTGTTAGCAATAAAAATTAACTGTGAAACTTCGGTAAAAGAAAAACAAATATTTTATAATTTAAAACGCATTACATGCAACTCATTATTTTAAAAATAATGTAATACTTCATAAAATGGCACTGAACAAAAATTAAATTATTAAAAATATATATAAACTGGAAACCGAATCATTGGATAACAGGGATTTAAATATGCATTATCGTTAATTTTAAGTTAGTTAATGACAAAACTAGAACTTCAGTACTTGCTCTACAATTTCAATTCCGGAGATTGAAGGATTTAAAAGTGAAACGCCCGATTATAAGTAGAAGTCATTCTACTTTAAAAATAAGCACTATCACAAGTGTTTCGGAGACCTATAATAATTCCGACTGAGCTTTATCAGTGAAGTCTGATTTAAGCTGAGCATGTCCAAACGATACCTTGAAACGGAAAGCGTGTAACAGACGTTTTTGAGAAAATCACTTTATTGTATTATTTGCGAACTATTCGACATAATCTTTATTCCTTTTGATCCACAAGGTATGTGACGTAACATCCATCACTGAAAAACTGTAACATTAATCGTTAACAAACGCTCTCAAATAAGACGTCAGCCAAAGGACAAAACCCTCAAGTGTTAGATTGCGATGCATAATGTTAGTCTTGATAATTTTATTTATCAACAAGTACGTAAGCTTACAGCAGAGTCTAAGCAATAGCAACAATATCATATCGAACAAGCAAGTATCATGCAATGATACTACAAGTAGTCAACTGCTATAGTTTTGATAGAACTACCGATAGTACTATTATCGCTATCGCAAAAACGCCAGCTGGTCTGCAGTTGATTCAAAAATTATAACAATGCAGTCGGGTCCCATTTCCGACCGAACCACCATTGTTTTACATCGCTCTATATTATCGAATCACACATCTATCGTTGACCTAACCTCTACAAAATACAACTTAAACAATCTTATTTTTTTTTCATCAGACTCTTGCTCCAGTCGATAAGTATCTAATACATAATCAGTTCCATTACATTTAGCTACTAGGTACGTCACACATTAGCAAATTTTTGTTCGAAGTGCTCAACTGTGTCTACACTAAAGTAAACTACATTTAAGATAAAAAAGACTTACACTAAGATTATCCTAGATACAAAGTTAAAAAATGTTTAATCATATCCTAAGTGTTAACGTAACTTGTAAATGTGGATGAGCGTCTTTCAATCAAATGGCGAGCATTATAATTTTGAAACGACACAGGAAGTGTAAGATTTTGGTCTTTATGCAATTTTCGATACAAAAACATAGCTGTAAAGCAAGAAATAGACTGACACGTCTCAAATACGTCACACGAGTTAATTTTAATAACGCTAATAATTAACTATTTTAGAAAGATATTCGTCTCTTCCTATTCTGATTTAACCTAATTATTATATTGCGATATTATTATGGTTGTATATTAAATTCTAATAAGCAGCGATATTTAGGACACTTCCTAAATCACAAAACTCATATCGCTAATTAAGTGAACTTCATTTGAAACTTAAGTAAGCTCTGAACGTTTTAAATACCTTCCCTTTCTTAATTTTCGGGTTAGGTTATGTCAGGTTAGACAGCCTTACATGTGATAAACACTATTTTTTATATTGTTAACATATAGTGCAAAACACTACTAACTTGCTAGCTACAATGCCACCACTTAAAACTTTTAATTGATAAGGCATGCAACTAAACTTACATTTAAAATATTATATTAAGTGAACACATACATGGATTGAACACAGTGGTATCGCATACAAAACGGACATACAACCGTCCATACATTTTAAAATTCATTAAACTACTTTTATTATAGTTTCATTTTCAGAAAAGAATTTCACTACAATATTTGAACTAATACATTTTTCATATTGTATACAAACACGCGATAATATTGAATAATAAAAAAAATTATATTACATAATATTTATCCAAATTAACTATTATAAGTTCGCAAAATAACTTATTTGCGGCCAAATATATTTCACATACACTTGACATAGATACTAAAAACACCAGTAGGTGAATTTGTTTATCATTACACAAACTTTCCTCTTATCGTCTCATAAAACTGCATTTATATAACCTTCTACACCAATCATAATCGATTTAACTACGATTTAAAAAAATGCATATTTTTTATGCAGGTTAATCAAAATAAATTTTTGCTAACATAATAATTTTTCTAAAAAATATTCTGATTGCAGAAACAAAAATATCAAGTCTCATTTTATAAACAAATAATAATATACAAATGTACGTCGATAGAGAACAGAGTACTCTTAAAATCAATATAGATGTACCATTAACCATTTCATTGTCTGTCCCGCTCTAAACTTACGTCGTAGCATAATACAGAGCATCACCACAAGCTGTATCATAATGCATATATATCGTATGTTGAATTAAAATCACATTGATTTTAAGAGGACGCCTCCAGCGGTCTGCCGTGTAATAAACTTCATACAATTGACATTTCATTCAACGGAGATATCCAAAAATTTGTCGGTTCTATGTGCACCATCTTCAAAAAATGGAAAAAAATTTACGTACCGCAAATATTGCAATGCTTACATAATTATGTAGTTATTAAATAACTACTGGACTAGTCAGGAAAGATGGTGTCCTATAATAAAAACAGAAAACTTTCATTGTCATATGACACATGTGGTCTTCCGAAATAATGTATTTTTGATTTGTGTTACATTTCTATTGTTAAATTTTTCAATCGTTTCAAAAATCAAAATAATTTTACGAGGAATCGTATAGTTTGATATTGTTTTAGCTTTTTCACCTATTTTTAGTGTGGTGTACACAACCCTGACTCAAGCTCCATACTTTTTTGGAAATCTCCTTTAATACTCTTAATTTTTAAATAAATTACCAATTTTATAGAGCTTCAAATATCAAAATAAATCAAATTCGAATCCGTATCATGAAGTGAGTTACGTGATAGACCCGCTAGTATCAGAACTGTCTCCATCATCAAAATTATACTTAATAGAAATTTTGGTAAAAGATAGGCGTGAAAAACAAAGTCGTCAGTGCGCTGCTGCGGCACAATCAACGTCTTTAAGACAGTCTTCTAAAGTCAGTCTTAAAGTTTTATTGCATTGATTCTTTTTTCTGCTACACTATTTGAGTTCCTCTCTCTATCCATTCGAACACAAAAGCGCACATATACACATATGCTGCAGAAAAAAGAATCAATGCAATAAAACTTTAAGACAGTCTTCTAAAGTCAGTCTTAAAGTTTTATTGCATTGATTCTTTTTTCTGCTACACTATTTGAGTTCCTCTCTCTATCCATTCGAACACAAAAGCGCACATATACACATATGCTGAGATTAAAAATTTAAAACAAATAAGAACTAATCTAGCCCATTAACACTGTCCAGTGCGCTAACAATGCTATAATAATAAATATGTAATATATGCACCTAAATGAATATGCAAAATAATTAATATATCAACGTCTGCGTCGATCATTATTAACCAAGTTAAAAACTCAAAATGTAACATTTTGGAAAAATACTTTTTAAGTCATTTCATTTCTCACAGAAAATTATATTTTACATCACATAGTGATTTTTATAATAGTATATTTTTACGATTTATATTTCTGCTTAGTATCAATATAAATCGTAAGATGATCGGATCGGATAAGATGTAATCGACATTATATTAATTTACTATGAATAAGGTATTTAAAGATTTGGTGTTATAATTACTCGATTCAAAATTTTAAGTTGCAATAAATTTACTATGCAAATTAAGTTTGCAAACTGCGAATAAAGTTTGGTTCTTAAAGACTAGTTGATACAGAAACAAAAAAGCGAATTATTATGGTAACGCAAAGTCGTCAAACGTTTATGGAGATTTGCATATTACTTTACGGCAAACGCTCCTCCAGCCAAGCTATGCTCGATTCGGATGTTATTCCAAACGTATATAATAAAATTGGCACATTAGCAAAGAAATCACAACTTAATAAAAAAAAAATTAAACAGTGGACCTTCGGCTCACTTAGTTTACATTATAAGTTATTAATATACTTTGATATATTGCTTGCCGTGAGATGAGATGTCGCGAGCTGTGTCTGGTAGAGTTTCAAACAATACCACCAAATAACCCTCTGGAGTTAAAGCTACGTCACTAGGTCTGTCTTTGTCGTCAAGGCCTGGACTCTTCAAATCCACAGCAGAAAGTATGCGGAGTTCCGACGTGAACACAAGTACACGGTGGTTTTTGGAATCTGCCACGATTATGCGACCTTCGTCATCGGTTACAATGCCCGATGGACGATTCAACTCACCGATACCGGAACCTTCACGTCCTACACAATATAGAACTTTCGATAGAGTTGAATCTACCATTAACAAGCGATGATTCTCAAAATCAGATACTATTATATTGCCTGTAGTTGTGAAGCATACGCCTCGCGGCGTTGTTGGGCCCTTCAACATTTTAGATGGGTTAGCTCCTTCAAATACATATTTGGTTATGTAAGTCCCATCGCTTGCGAATAGTTGAATTCGGTGATTACGCGTGTCAGTCACAACGATGTTACCTAAGGTATTAACAGCAACATCCCACGGGTACTGGAACTGCCCACATTCTTTCCCAAAAGATCCAAATTTGTGGATAAAGTTTCCGGACAGTGAGAATATTTGAACTCTATGGTTGTCTTTATCAATGACAATTATTCTACCAAATGAGTCAGTAGTTATGCCAGCTGGGAGATCAAATTCACCAGGGCCAGTACCTTTGGAACCAAACATAGTTTTAAACTCGCCACGGCTATTGAAAATTTGAATGCGATTATTACGCCTGTCAGCAACTATTATGTTGCCTTCCCTGTCTATGCACAAACCCCATGGTCTAGAAACATGGCCTTCATCTTGTCCCTCTCGACCAAATGAAAACATAGGCACTCCAGGGATTGAACTTCTGGTTGGCTTCACAGATACGGACATCCAGTAACCTGAAATGGCTTGTCCAATACCGCGTGCAGAAGTCGACTCCACAGTCGAAGAAGTATGGTCGTAATAATTAGTACACCTTGTACTCATAGAATAATCTGGCAACGATCTCATGCTGCTAGTACTTGCGAGACTGTAATTTAAGGGTGGATACGACTGAGCTGTCTGCAATGACTGCATTGACATTAAAGACTGGCGAGTGTGCAATGGGGCAGAATTAATCATTAAAGGGGGATTTGTGGGCGTGAGTTGCACATCACATTGTCGTTTTAATTGGTCAACCAAGTCATAGTTAGGCTGAGTAAACACAATTCTCTCCTCAGCAATAGTCATATGTTTAAACATCGCTGCAAAGTAATCTACCTGTGATCTTCCCTTTTCTTTAGCCATAAAAAAGTCTATCCCATCGGAATCCATACTTCGCGCTAATGTTTCGTTAGTATGGGCTAAACCAGCGAGTATACCGCGCAAAGTGTTCATATGGTCAGACAACTCGTTAACCTTTGCCTGACGCATTTTCTCAACCTTGTCCAAAAGGTATTTTTCACGGTCTTCAACAGCCTGGGCAAAACAACGCATAGCTTTTCTGATTTTCATACTTGCTTCTGCAGATTCTTTTTCATAAGCTTTAGTCATAGCTACTGCACGATCTATTGCAGTTTTTATTGCTTTCGTGCCAGTTTTCGTATCTTCTATTGCCTTCATCGCACCTATTCGGCACGCATTAAGAGCACCCTTTATTGGGGAATATTTATGATCTTTATGTACCCAAAAAGTACATTCCTGGCAAATAAAAATTATGCATCCGTCACAGTAAAATCGTACAGGTTCACCGTGGAGATCACAATAGAGAGTTTCTTTGTCATTGTTGACAGAATTGGGCCTGACTCCAATAGGCGATATTTGATGTATTGGGAGAAGTGTATGTTCGCGCAACTGACAATCGGATGTTGCTTTATGACAACAGTCATGGCAATAAAGATCATTGCACTCAAGGCAACGCATTGTTGGCGAACGTTCTTCGCATCGAAAACAAGTGATGGACACCGAAGGAGATGTGCCGGGGGAACCAGTCGAATTATCTTCTTTTAAATGCATGTGATGGTTACTATTAGTGCTACCGCTAGCATACTCACGACCTATGGCACCCATGAGGTTTGTCATTCCACTGCTCGAGGGTACTGCCCAAATATCATAAGGCACGGACGCAGATGTCGATGTAGATGGATTATTCATTGTATCAAGAATATTGCAAAATAAGTGTGTCATGATGTGTGACTCATCCGTTTCGTTGGAACTGTTGCTGCTGGATGTAGCGCTGTTCGCAGCTGAGATGGACGGCAGACTTGATGCCAGCGATTGCGCCAGATTAGCGAACGATGTCATTCTTCTGCATACACGTAACTTGTATCATTAGAACTGTAAATAAATAAAAAAAAATATTTGTATAAATAAATATTTTAACGACAACGACAATAAAATACATGTAACGTCACTATGTCGGGACTTGTTAGGGCTAATACGAAGTATTTTGTGGTTCAGAAATAATAACTTTAATTCTCGGTGGATTGTATAATACGATTCGGAATTTCAAAGTGAGTAAGGTTTACAGTTAGTAGCCGACTCTGCCTTTAGTTTGAAAATTCGTTTAGAATGATTTGATTTTGCCTACAACTTCCCACGCGTTAGTCCCATTCTGATCGCTCACTGAGCGAAAAAGAAGTCATAACGCGGTTTATTCCAATTTAATTCAACGAGACGACGACGACTAGGACCTCTGTGGCCGGCTGATTCCTACACCCGGTTCAAGGTGTCACTATCTCTCGGGTTCGATTTCCGGTCGGATAAATATAGAAAATTGCCTTATTTATATGGTCTCGGTGTTTATCGTTGTTTCAGATTTCTATAATACAAGTGCTTTAGCTACCTTAATAAAGGTTTTAAGAAATATATGTAATGTTTTCTAATATTTATTTATTAATTAAAAGAAATAAAATTATGACACGAAATTTCCATTCTTACTAGTAAGACAATTAATTAAAACCTTGCGGTAGTGCTTCAAGCCCTATAAGGGGCGGTTTGCTTTTGACGCCCTATCGGTGCAAATAAATATACTAAAATACAATTCCTACACTAGTTATATTTAAATAAATACCGTATTACTACACTGCACAACTACACTGATGCTTTAATAAATCAATATCCTGCCCGTCTGATATGCGCAATACTTTAAGTCGAATTAAATATTTATATATTAACTTTTCAGATACGTGCCTTATTTATATTAACTACTAACGCACAACATTAGTTTCATAAATAACTCTACTCTACTCTTAAATAATATAAATGAGACAAATTTCCAAAAATAAAGTAATACAACTTACATAAATATCATTACTAGTAATGATCAACCGTAGACAGTAAGCTGTATACAAGTTAGATATAGATTTTAACTTAGATTCTAACCCATATCTAACTAGATTCTAATTAGATAAAAGTTACAGTTGAATCCAGCAACAATACTAACGCAGTAGTAAATGAAAGGTAAACAAATACATACCCAAGAGAATTCAATAAACAGACGCCGTCAAGCAAAGAATTTGAGTCTGTGAGCGTTAAATAAAAAAAATACAAATGATTGTTTGTGCACAGTCGTACTGTGCTTGTGCCCCGCGGACGGTGGTTGCACTTGAACTAACTAAACCACTGACTGAACTTTTACACTGCAACGTAGTTTGCGAAAAAAAAGTCTATCCCAAAATCTTTTACGCCCGCTTTGTAACCCCTCATGATGTTAGGTAGTGATTCTAGAAAGAGATAGATACACTTAACAGTGCGAGTATGACAGAGAAAGTGAGTTTCTCTGTCGCATTCCATAATTTTCCATAAAGTAGATAAGGTTTGCTATGATTAGGGTTGGCTCGTGTATGTATTGACGATTTTTTCGGTTTGTATTGGTCATGAATCTGATACAGTTAATTGAGAAATCATCCTAAAGATCACGTATAACAAAAACCAGCACAGTTAATAATGAAAATTATAGAGATTGTGCCAAAAAGACCTCAATTTTAGTAAACGAATGGCTCTCTTAGGCCTCAGCCTGAAGTTTCTAAGAGATATTTTGATCAACTGTACTGAAACTGTAACAGACTCCGACATTTCTAAAAACTTTTGAATAAGGAATTACAGTACCGTTAAAAAATACTTAAAAGCAGTAAGCTCAAAATCCTTTTACTTACGAGTCTTTCTAGAAGGATTAACCGTAAGACTCGTAATTCACTGCTATTATTAATATGAGAAAAACCTGATATAAACAATACGTAACCTATATCAATGTGACACTCATTGTCAAAGATTTCATATCGTTTATTGAAGTATAAATTCCACAGCGTAAAGGCTAAAGGAAATAGGAACAAGAAAGAGTTTCTGCACCCGTAGCATTAGAAACAGATATATAATTTACTCATATAGAAATACAACGCCAAGGGAGTCCAGCATTGATAGATCACTAACACGTCGACAGGCTCCTTGATACAGAACTGTCGGCACCTTAGCAGGAACTTAAGAACCAGAGTACCAGAATGGAGGTAATAATAATAATATTTATTAGACCAAAACGAAACAAAATACATGTTTTTCTTACATCTAAGCTTATCATATAATGAACCTATTTAGTTAGCTCCTGCTGCTGAACTGAGTTAATAACCGTCTTTCAGCATACAGCGCCTCAGGATCTTAGTATTACTACATATGTTTTAAGCAGATAAGTAAGTAACTGAAATTTATTTCTTATATTTAGTATACAAACTTTACCTAACCTATAGCGTTATCCTCTCAGTAAGTAGAATGATAATGACTGAGTACGTGTGAGAGGGTGAGTAACTTTAATAGTGAAATTATAAAACTTCCAACCCAACATAAACAAATTTACTGCGAGAAAAAGTTACTATTATACTAATCAGTCCCGGAGAGTGAAAAGCATACCTCTAAGTTACGGCAACACTGTAAAATCGGTGAGAAAGCCATTGGATCACTACACATTTGAATAATATTTTTATAAAGATTTTTCGCTGGAATAGTTCCAGCAGTGAGGAGGTCACTCAATATTGTATAGCCGAGCATTTAAAAAAATACTTCACAACCAGTCAATTGCAGGAGATATAACGAGAGAAGTCATGACATGACACGGAGAATGCCAAAATCAATTGAGTTTAAAGGCTGCGGTCTATTGATACCCAACTATCATTATCAGCTAACATCCCCACAGCTGGGCAGGCCTTTCCTATATAATGAAATTGAATAAGACGAATGGGCCAGCACGATGCCCAATGCGGATTCGTGGATACTAACGACTGTAGATTCAGCCGGGAAATACAGCTAAACGTGCCTTGCAAGTACAGAGGAGCCCGTGATAATAAGCTTTTGATAATTAATCCTATTTATTAGCCTTTATTAAAGTTTCTTAACTGCGATATACACAGCGCCATCGAGCTCTTCCGATAGTCATTAGTAAACTTAAATTAATATAATTAATTCTTAACGAAAATTGCTTAGAAATCCTCCAGCCCCAGGTATTCTGCGATGGGACTCGAACCCACGAGAGAAAAGTAACAAGTGCTTAGAAAATTCATCAATCCTGTTAGGTCCTGGGTAGACCAGTGGTTAGAGCAATCCGGGTAATTGCGAAAGGTCGTAGGTTCGAGTCACATCTCAGAGTTCTTGGAGCTGCTAGACTTTTAAGCATGTTTCATTAAGAGTATTTTCCAGTACAGCATTGTAAATGCAAAATTGATAAAAATATATATAAATAATTAATTTTAATCAATTCTGTATTATTCTTAATTAAAAATGCTTAAAAAATCCCCAGCCCCAGTCCCAGGTACTCTGAGATGGGATTATAATTAATTTTTTTTTTTTTTTAAAGTAAGCTAAGTATCTATTATACTACACGGGATAAAATACGTACATGGGTAAAAAAATTTAGTCAGGTTAATATTTGTCAGGTTTACGGAAAGTCTCCATAACGTCATAAAAAATAATAAAATCCGTACACAATAAGAAAGATATCACAAAACATATATAAAAGTCGAATTGAGACTCCTTTAGAGCTCATTAAAAACTGCCAACCCTAAATATTCGGTTAAGATCACAATTGAGTAGCATAATTCAACATTTCACGGGCACAAGGGGGAAAGGGACACAAAACCCATCGAACGGAGTTAAAGAAAGGGACGGATTGTGACGTTTCCATTTATCGAGAATCTGTATTTTTGGAGGCGCAGCCACATGCGATGCGTGACCTTGGGTGGCGAGTGCGCGTGAGGTAGGTCCAGGACCGACGCCATCTTGGGTGCCTCGCCCCCGCTCGAAGGGTGCCGAAAAATCGATGTTTTCCCTGTTTATATCTACCGAGGAGTTCGTCTATTATAAACCCTTGTTGTGCATCATTTCTAGAAAACAAAACATGTCTATACACAAATTACAATAATAAAAATAAAAAATACTATTTCGTAAAATATTACATAAAATACATTTAATTATTACTTAAAATACTTAAATTAAAAAATTCAAATATCTTTATTCAAGTAAGCTTATTACAAGCACTTTTGAATCGGCAAAAAATATTTCTTCCCCTACCACTTGAACAGGACGTCTTTTAGCTGACAAGAAGAACAAGCGAAAGAAACTTACCAGCTATTTATCATAAGTAATGACATTTACATAAATCATATCATTACCAAAATAATATGTATTATCACAATAATAAATACAACTTTCAAAGTTACAGACTTTAAGGTCATAGGTTATACATATAATTAGTCGTTATAGAACAAAGCGAAGGCTATTAATTCCATGCATTACGATAAATAATATAAAATAATCATCAACTCTATAATAGGCCTATAGGCCTATGGACTAGCAATATTATTTCAATTTCAACTACAAGTTAACGTGGAAAATATCCCTAAATAAAAGCCAATTCACTGTTTCACTGTTTTTACTTA